AAAAATTAATTCTGATTTGCTAAGCTTAAGCAGATGGGGTTCGACATGGCAGATGGGGTTTTCATCATCCAAGTGTAGTTTCATGTCTTTTGGTCCTACCAAACTTCCTGGTCCCATAGGTTTTCAGCATAACCCACTCTCAGAATGCCTTACCATAAAGGATCTAGGTCTAAGTTATACAAATAAGCTTGCTTTATCACCTTTATCACTACCATCGTCCCCCCCCCTTCTCCACCGGCAAAGCCAACTAGACCCTTCGATGCGACCTGACCATCATGACACGCATTGACTTGCGAGTTCATCCCATTGAGGCCGGCAAACCAGTGCCAGTAGCCCTGACATACACACACGCAATCGCTTCAACTGCCCTCAGTGCCCAAATCGGTTCATTGGCGGCATGGGCATGCTCAGCCACGTGCGTATTTCCGACAGCGGAATTGAATTTAATGTCGACAAGCCAAGCCCATCTCATACGTCTCATAACTCTACCTTCTCCATGACCACCAAATTCACCTATGGAAATTTCGCCAGTACTATCATTATAGTCACCGTAAACAACACAACACTTACCTACCCGTCCTCGGTAAACTGCCGCCTCATATGCACATCACGCTTTTGCCTGGTCGTCACTGCGAATTCGCGTGCAAAGATTGGTGAACCAGTGCCAAAAAACCTACTTACACCCGAAGCCGTCATGTAGACGGTGCGCAGCGTCCACGCAAATTCCGGCACCACATAAGCCTTCTCGGCTTTTGCATCTCCATAAGATCTGCGCCACGTCTCGCAAGCTGTATTACGCCACCAGGCATCTTCCTAACAATACATGCCCTACACGTCAACATGTCCGGCCTCACGTACCAGATAGATAGATAGATAATTTTTACTAAAGACCCGTCGGGGTCCCATCAAAGCAAGTTAAAATAAATTTACATGCGAGTTTTAGACGAGGTAGGCCGAATCTTTACAAAATGCAATTCATAGTTTCTGAATAAGTAGTCCAATGAGAAACATGATGATTGAGGGGTGAAAAAAACTCCTTACAAAAAGATAAAAATGATTGGATTAATTTTACAGAAGAAAAAAATCCCCTCAATAAAAATAATGACAGATAAAAGCGAGCAGGACGGGCCTGTAGGTGGCGGTATATAACGGAATGTTGTCGGTCATTGTCAGGGTAGCAATAAATCTCAGCCTTGATGGGTACGAATGTGGGTCACACAGGACTGGCTTGCATATGGCATTGTATACGGGATTCACAATTGAGATCGTCTGGGCCGGATTGGTACGCCGCATCAAAGAGGCCAGACGAGAGGAACCGAGATGCGATCGGCAACAGCACGCTTCGAGCTCAGCTGAGCAGTGGGGAAGGGAGGTACGACCGAATTACTAGTAGACGGTGAATACTGAGGGTTCCGCCGTGAGCGTCGACAGACCGCATGAGGTCGGAATGCGAGAGATGACATCAAAAACCGCGAAAATTGTCGCTATGGGGAGGCGTAATAGCAGTGGATTTAGAAACCAATTAAAAACACCGATTTCTAATGATATAATTGAGAGTTACCACTTAATCTACCACTAAATCCCAGGAGGGCCCTTCTCGTAGTCAAGAATCTGAGTGTTCGCAATGAGACCGTTAACAGTGCCTTTTTGCTTTCCGATGTAAGATGTTTGCGTAATTTCAACTTGAATACCAGTAACTTAGGTGACAATTTAATTTCAGGCGGAAGATTATTCCAAAGGAAGGCATATTTGGAAGCAAAGAAGAGGGAGCGCTTAGATGTAGTACAAAGAGGCGGCGGAATCACCATGCAGGAGTTGCGCGCGGCATAAGACCGATCTCTCGGAGTGAGAGTGTCAATGTGCGGAAGACTGGAGCTAGAATTGATGCGAAAAAGAAAACAAAGGCCAGCTTCGAGTCTTCTAACCCACAAAAACTTAATGTTCGCCAGCTGACATCTCTGAGTATAAGAAATACTGGACGAAGCTTGAGAGAACTGTTTCCGGGTGAAAACCCTCTGAACATTTTTGATTTTATTACGGTCGCAGGCGTTCATTAAACCGAAGAAAGGACAGCAATATTCGAGGACTGGAAGAGCAAACATTTGATAAAGTCTTAGCTTCATTACCGGAAGGAAAAAATTATGCGATATGAATCCACATATTTGCGCGGCTTTGGCAGAGATTCTATCTGCATGAGGTGATAAAGGAAGCTTATTTGTATAACTTAGACCTAGATCCTTTATGGTAAGGCATTGTGAGAGTGGGTTATGCTGAAAACCTATGGGACCAGGAAGTTTGGTAGGACCAAAAGACATGAAACTACACTTGGATGATGAAAACCCCATCTGCCATGTCGAACCCCATCTGCTTAAGCTTAGCAAATCAGAATTAATTTTTTCAACACAAACGTTAGCGGTGTCCTTAGAGTATGAGTAAACACACTTGAGGTCATCGGCATAAGTAAAAGTTTGCGAATTTCCGAGTTCAGTCGAAATATCATTGGTGTACAGAAGGAAGAGTAGCGGACCCAGAACCGTGCCTTGAAGTACGCCACTCGTGATTGAGTGGCGTGTCGTGTAGCTATTACGGACCATGACTTTTTGATATCGGTTGGACAGATATGACCTGATGAAGTCGAGTAGAGGCGGCCGGATGCCGAGAGCTTCCAATTTTACTAAAAGACGTCTATGGGGGCACCTTGTCAAAGGCTTTGCTAAGATCAAAGTAAATAACTACCACTGACTGCCGCTCATTACGAAGAGAAGTGATTAGATTAAGAAAAGCCAAGTGGCATGTTTCGCAGGATCGTTCAGTTAAAAATCCATGCTGGCTGAGGTCGAAGCCGATTAGCTAGACAGAAGTCAAGAATTTCATTGAAAATAATCCTTTCAAGAGGCTGGACACCTCTAGACTGCATAGAAGAAAATTTGCTCGCTGTCGGTTTAAGAAATAGTCCATTACGCTGCAGGCTGCGGAGTCAGTACCATTCCCTACAAGACAAGATTGGACAGAGGAATTAGAGACCACGAAATCTGTCATTAAGAAAAATTAGTTCGGCGGATTCAACACTTAAAAATTGCGGAAGTTTTTTGAACGCCGCAAACGGGGGATAGTTCTCCTAAAGAATGAATGATTTTGCTGCACTTTTGCATTACCGTGAAAATTATTCCAGGTTGCAATTTGGTTCACATAAACGAGCTGACGATATCTAACCGTGCGTGTCAGAGGAAGAACTAAGAAGACATTGCGGTGACTGCTGCGTCGAGTGTGGTCAAGTTGCTATAAAGTACTAAGCGAATCAAAAGTAGGGCTGTATAATGACTTGAACAGCAAAAAAAACCACTTGTGAAATTTGTGAAACCACACGAGATTAATGCTTGCAAGCCCACAACGCTCTTATTACGCCAAATTTTGGCCCGCCAAGGTCTAAGTTTATAGTAAAAATGCTCAAATAATTTTGTTTTTCACTTCAGAAGTGCGCAGGAAGCTAAATAAGACCGAAGAGTTCTGCAGGCTAGGTTTAACGTACATTTCATGAAAGCGCATTCTCATATTGCCATTTTTAAATTCCGAAGGATAAACCCTGCCGTTCTGTGTGCTTCAGAGACATTCTAGGGGAAGCGTTCTGAAACACTGAGACTCTTTTAATATGAGATGCCAAGACCAATTGGCGATTACTTCCTGAGGAAATTTAAAAACTGCAATTTTAAAACCGATGTATCTATCAGAAAAGCGCACTAATGAGCCGAACCCCCCTCATCTGTCATGCTGGGGCAGAGTACCGGCGAAAAACTTGCGCGGGCTCTTAGCTAGGACCTTTGCTGTCAACTATGATATAAAGTGCGATCTATGGACATGCTGTAGTGCCCAGCGAGCTCAACATGGTTGTTTGAATGGTGTGAACACTTCTGGTGCGGATCCAGAATAGGGATGACGTAATCGCGCCCTGCGAAAATAGCACGGCTCCCTGTCCCTGCACAACCGCAGACCCCTCCCCGTAGTCTCGCCGTAAACATAACGCTTAACCCTCCCTACGTCGACTTCCCCCACAGCCCGTAGTCTCGCCGTACACATAACGCTTAACCCTCCCTACGTCGACTTCCCCCACAGCCCTCCCCTGCATTTGCTAACAGCGCTGCGATGTCCACCGATTGTCTAGCGGACATTTTGGCGTCACCTTCCCATCTAGACGGGTCATTTCCTCGTTGTAACTCACCTGCCTCTATGCGATCTTCGTATATACAGATTTCCTTTTTCCTAGTATACAACTTGTGCCTCCCTATCTCTTCTTTATCCTTGCCTGATGCGAATGATGCTCATCTGACCGCTTTGTTCGACTCGTCTTAAGTCGTGAGTTATCTTCAGTGCTTCACGTAACACAGTGTGCTCTACCATCAACACCACCAGAACACGAATGGTATTGGCCGTGGGTGACGAAGGCCTGATATTGGGCCGAGTGGCCACTCGAAGATCTTGTC